TCCAGCAGTGACAGGGAAACGCAAAGTTTCCTTGAGAATATAGAGAAACAGTCATTTGGCAGTGTACCTCATTGTATTTTCCAACGTGTCATGACCTATTTTTATTGATTTCTTTTATTTTTGTTCACATTGTGAAGCGCAATCTCAGTATATTAATCATTTTTAACATGCCGCATACCATGTGGACAAATAACAAAACATCTTGGTCGTTAAAACATAATAGGATGAAACAACAATGGATCCATGATTTCAGTGATTTCATTTGAATGATTTTCGAAAATGGCCCCGTGCAACAGTTCAGCACACACGAAGCCTTCCTGTTTGTGCACGGGTGGTGTGCAGCAGTGCACACTGAGGTTTTACTGAGAACAGCTCATCTCAATTACACTGAACAGCCCGAACAGGGATGTGAACTACGTCTTGTGAGCAACTGCAGTCTCCCGTGACATCTTGTACAATGCAAATTTAGCACAGTAAAAAATTAATCATGTGAACTACGTCTTGTGAGCAACTGCAGTCTCCCATGACATCTCGTACAATGCTAATTTAGCACAGTAAAAAATTAATAACTAAAATGATTGGATTTACACGAAAAGCAAGATGTGTAAGTTGCGGCAATGATAGCAAAGAAGGAAGATGACATGCAATGTGGAACCCAACAGCACGTCTATGATCACCAAACAAGTTAACATATCAAGCTAATTTGACTTGGTCTACCATGGCTAGTTAGAACGCCTTGCGATGCCCCCGCATGTGGTCAAAGATGAACACAACAATGGATGCACTTTCAACCTCCATGCCATGTTCCGCATTCCAAAGCCCAACAATACACACTCACTGCCAGATACCACAGTAGAACGTTAGTATGGCAACCCCAAGTGGACAAAAATAAAACATGCGCCTCACATGCAAATACGTGTATTTTAAGAACACCTTTATTCGTCTCATAATGGAGAAATTCCCACTTTATTAACATTCAGCACCAGCCGATTCTAGACCAAGTCTGAAAAGACGTTTAAAAACGTCTTTGGGAGTGAATGAGTTAAGAACGCAAAAATCAATTGATATTGGTAGAATTGATTCTAAAAATACTCGGTAGCTGCAGCAATACTTTTTATGCCACATTAGAGCTTATTCTTCTCAACAAATTGGATCCGTTTCCGAATTTTACGTGATGAGGTAGTGTTGCATGCGCTATACAGTAGTTGCTGATCACTCTTCTCCCTTATTTACATTTTTCTGCACATCTGTTCTCTTTGAAATAATTTTTTTTTAATCAGACATTGCGTGTCTGTCATCTGTCCCTGTGTGTGTACACATTACGAGAGCACCATCATTAAAAGGCTTACCTTTTGTGCACCCCGTCTTTCTCTGCGACCTTGCGCCCTTAAGTGACAGCATTCTTCCTGTGTCGGTCGCCATGGAAACCATCAAATGTTTTCCCCCCACCGAAACTCAACGGGGCTCTGCGCCACATCAAGGAGCACATTAGTCCGCTGCCAGCTCTTCAGGGAACCTAACTATAGCCTAACTTAACTGCTTACGAGGCAGCCTCCAGGAGTTTTATCAGGCCCACGTAGGTTCTCTTTTGAAGCCAGCAAAACGGCCCAGATTTATCTCTTTTGTAAATAGCAAGACCGCATGCGTGATTACGACGCAGGCGCACACGTAGTCTTCATGGGACAGAAGGGAGAGCACAGCTGGGAGACATTAGCTCCACAAATTGATGGCAGCACTCCGCCCCGTATGCCCCGATTATGTCATCTTTTCATTTTGATATACAGGCATTGTGCATGTGCAACCCTGGTCACCGCCAGTACTCCTGTTTCAAGTCTCTTGCGTGCATTTAAAAGCACGTGAATGTGCATTGATAGCTCGATAAATTGGAACATAACCAACAACTGTTTTCATTTCGCCGCTTAACTGTCAGCGGAATGATTGTTCGTCGCAGCTTCGGTCGTTTCCTCATTCCTTGATTTAAAGTCACGCTTTAGACTAATGATTATTGGCTGAACCATATCCTGTCCCTCCTCGCACAGAGGACCACTCGGCTGCAAAGTGTACCGCTTGTCTGGCCGATTAAAGAATGCTGTTTCACTAAAGCAAGTTGTGGACATGGACAAAATTTGATAGCCCACCACAGTAACTGGCCAAGGGGGAGTCTGGTATTGGGAAACTATAAAGCCGTATTCCCCACCATGCAGTACAGTTCATTTCACCTAAGAAGAGCGCAGTTTGGAACAGTAAACCTGATTCTGGCTTGCGTTTTCATCACGGGGTGTGTAGGCGGGATGATGATAACTTTGTCAGCTATGTAAATACAGTAAATCTTCCCATTTCAAATACAATAAAATCGAGAATAGTGGCCTGGGATTGATTTGTAATTAGAATACATTTTTCTCAGATAAAATAATCAAGGTTGCCAAACTGTTGCCATTAGCTAACCTTGATACACTGTACGTTGAAAAGAGGTTTGACTGTATACAGTTGCAAAAGACGTCACCTTGCATTAAGACTTAATTCTTCATGTTTTTCAACATATTTAACTAGTATAAAGTGAAAAAAAATAGGGGTGCTGTTGTACGTCTGTATTGTACTCCGATCGGGGAAAAAGTGGTCTGATACTAACATCGATACACTTTACATATACCTTCCGCGATGGTGAAGTAGGAGCCACAGCAGCTGTGTAGCTACCTTAATATAAAACATGGATGACAACACTTTTAGCCAACTGCAAATTATTGCTCCGCAAAATGGATGACAAACTCGGCTTGGCCGGTGATGGAGGCGGCCGCTGGCAAGCACGTAGTTTAAGCCAGGAAAGTGACGACGGTGTGTCTCTTTGATTTCTTTGTTGCACTAAATTAAATTCCCCGCTCTTTGATTCAGAGGTCGACTTTGATTTTATGCACATTCACAGAACATCTCTTCATGCTTTGTGGCGGTGATGGTTTTTAAGTCTGTTTGCTTTTGTCTCCATGTGGTTGAATGGACGTGTGTTCTGCTGTTTATCTATAGATTTGTAAAGCACTATAATAATGAGAGTATCACATGGGTGGTGGGCGGGGTGCCGAGTGGCAACTTGACACACATCTATTTTGACTAATTATGACCTAAGAAGATCACCATGGATACCTCAGTAGGAACGAACAGCATGAGAGAATGTGCATCTATATGCCACGTGTTGCTAACAATACAATACAATACATCCTGATTTCTATAGCGCTTTCGCTTGATAACAGGTCTGCAGAAAATAACGCATGCACATAGCCAAATTATACTTGTTGTGTAGAAATTGCTTTTAGGTGACCTCAGGTGTAACGGCTTCTTTTCCGCAAAACCCTAAGGTGACTCAATGGATTAACTCGCCTGGAGGTAAGACAAAGCGAAAGTACAGTGCAGCTATAAGTATGTTGCGTTCAGGAACCTCAGAGCTGCGAGAAGCAACCCATACTGTATTTTTACCTTTCGTATCTTGAAATTTCTTTCGTAACAAGAGGCAATATTTGTCGAGGCGTTTTGTAACTTGAAAATTTGCGTATGAAGAGACGTTCGTAACTAGTGGTACCACTGTAATTCTCGTTTATTCAAATCAGTCTAGAGTGCCTACAGCATATAGTTGTTCTGTTTTACCTCCATCCATTGATTGCTTAAAACATTAGACTGCAGTACATTAGGATGTGAATTCATTAAGAATATTGCAAAAGATGATTACCATCATTTTGAAAAAATAAACTGTCCCAGCCACTTAACTGCACCAATATCGGTGAAAGTCTGCCGAGGTTCCACCGTTGCCAACTGTACGGCTGGTGACAGTCTTAGCTTTGTGGGCTAATGTTTCCCTGTAAATCCCCTTGGGTGTCTGGCATTTTTACATGTCATTTTTAACTCTAGATCTAGCTAGCCCAAAATGGCCACTGCTCTCGATTTATTTATATATTGTACAGCACAGCATTTTTTTTTTTTTTTAACCACACCGATAAAATCAAGGTGAAGATAACGTGTTAATTGCATTTCAGTTCATTTCAAAGAGAAACTCCTTCTGGTTGAGAATGTTTTGGCTTGCAAAGAGCATTATGGAGCAAATTAAATTTGTAAATTGAGTTTCCGCTGTATTTCAGTTTTCTACAAAAACACACTGTCTGCCACAGTATTAAAAAAAACACATTACAAATAAGACAACCCCAGATTTAATATAGAGAGAACAAAAATAAGAGACTGTGTTTTCCAATATAAGACAGCAGGACTGTTCTGTGGATTCTATCGTCCACATGCTGCATGCGTCAGCTGTAAAGCCGCCCACTCCTTATTTTCTCTCATTGCTCTGTTGCTCACTACTCTGCAAGTCTGCAACAAGCTCCCTAGAGCCTCATATTTTGTTCATTTTGCCAGAGCCTTTAGTCTGGAGCTCAGTGGGCAAGCTTTCTGTGTCATGGGAAGAAACACACCAATAAGTCTAATCTATGCATATTTATTTTATTTTATTTTTTTTTGTGAAAAACTCAAGTCTGCAGCAAAAAGGGCGTGTTGTCATCACTGCGGCACCACCAGTGGTTTCTGCAAAAGCATAGTCAGGAGAACTGGAAGGAGTGGTGGGATTGGGCGAGAGAATAATCAACGAAAGTGCAGCAGAATGACAGTGAGATTTTTCTGTGTGTGCGTGCGTGTGTGTGTGTGCATGTATATGTGTGTGTGTGTACTGCAGCAGCTGCTTCTGGACATCTGATGCTTATTGTATTCTGCCATTTGTCTGGGTGAGCTGGGGCTGGGCTAGTCAGGACTGTGTGCACGGATGCAGTCTGTGTGTGTGTGTGTGTGTGTGTGTGTGTGTGTGTGTGTGTGTGTGTGTGTGTGTGTGTGTGT